AGAAGGAAGAGAGGAAATAAGAGAACTTGAAGAGAAAGAAAATGTTTTACAATGTACTTTTCTTTGATGATTCACTAGTTGCAGAGATCACAGTGCTATCATAAGTGAGTGGAGTAGGGGTCGGGTTGATTCGTAATGGGATCGCCATACGAAGAACTGTTCCCGGAATTCCCAAACCAATCAGGAAATCCTAAAGATAGATTAATCCAAATTTTCGGGATTACCAATTCTCGATCCCGGGTAGTTTGGGATTTCGGGACAAAATCGAGTGCAGGCGACGAATAAATGGTTTTTGGCTATGGACTAAAATTTGAGCATAATGATGGCTTATGTAATTCTCATTGAATGAATTGGTTAGATTTGTTGCAGGAAAATATACAAGCAAGTGTCCAGTTCACATTCTCTTGTAGTTTAAGGAGATGCAGATATAATATTTTGCATATCGGGGCCAAGCATTGATTGCATACTGTAACTTTGCTTGAGGCGTCTTAACTGGACTGACAAGGCATTGCTTTAGCATTGCGCTGCTTTGGCTGTCCATTTACCAGTAATGTGATATGTTAAAATACATATTTACAATGCCAACAAGCTCCATTTATTGGTGTAACAGTAAAGAGACTCAAGCATAGTAACGCTGATCCAACATCTTCGGCTTCGACATAAATGAGAACAACATTCTTACGTATATCATAATTCCGTAAAACATATTCCATTCCATCTGTAATAAGTCAAACCACAAAATCCATAACAATTTAAGAATGATATTATTATGTGATTCAATAATATCTATTATTTTGATGATAATGTCTTATATAATTATATTGTACGCGGTATGGGTCGAGAATATCGACAGCCATCCCGAATCCGCGTACCAAAAATCTTCAGGATCGGTTGGGATATGCATCCCAAAATTTTGGAAAATGTTCTTGTTTGGGGATTGGGATTTTTTTTCGGTTTCGGTGGGATTTATTGGGATTTTTTTAGCCGCCCTATAGGTGGTATATTCATGGATTTGACTTTATATGGTATGGCGGTCGGAATCTTACCAGCAACACAATCACTAGACTGCTTATCTGTATTGCTAAATGAATGTCGTCATGCTCCACACTTTCATTCTATGATACCCAACTAATTAGACTAAATTCATGTCAACCTTAGATAGTGTCCCGGAGTAAAAAGTAAGGATTGTGATAATGAGCGTTAGATAATAATTCAATCTGTAACAATCACAAGTCATGTGGCTTTAGTAGGGCAGAGTGAATTTTCTTTTAGAGGTTTTGTCATATATGTGGTTTATGGCAGAGTGGAGAGGTTTTTCATATATGTATTGAGAAAAGAAATTTGAATCAAAACATGAACAATTGATGCAATCTTCACAAAATTGAAAGACTCACTAAATTTAATAGAGATAATCAAAGAAGTGTATAATACAATTAAGTGGGAGGTTGTAAGCAGCGTAACCAGTAAAAATTGGAAATATAGGAAGAAAATTCAAAGAAATTTGGTTTGAATCGTTTGACAGAAAAAGGAAGGCAAAGAGGAGGGTTACAAATAATAGTGGATTAGGTTGCTTTAGAAGTAACATTAAAGTCAATTTTAAGATCATATCCCTGAGTTTCACTAAACTATAAAGGCAAAGCAAACAAAACTATTAGAAAAATATAAGATGTAGTCAATTCAACTTTTTCATAAGGACAATTCATCTTCTTCCCCCTGTCTAACGGTTCTACAACATAGGCTTAAGGTTGGCAGAAAATTTCTTACATAGTGATCAAGATGGGCTCGGAACCGCTTTGGTCCTCTAGTGGCTCTGCCCATGATATGGTTACAAAATTTAATTTGAAATTTTAATCTCTCTAACATTATTCATTTCAGTGTCTACACTGTCAAAAGACCAGAGAGTTTCCCTCCAACTAGGAGGCCAATCACAGTGCGACATATGTCGACATCAGAAGCCAATCACAGCAACGTGTCAACATCAGAAGCCAATCACAACACGACACGTGTCAATGTCAGAACAAAGCTAGAAACTCTTCTATAAAAGGAGATCATTCTCCCACAACATTTCCAAATGTCATTTGTACTAAATCATTCACTAGTACTCACTAAAAGAGAGCTTGAACCTTGTGTGTAAACCCTTCACAATTAATGAGAACTCCTCTACTCCGTGGACGTAGCCAATCTGGGTGAACCACGTACATCTTGTGTTTGCTTCCTTGTCTCTATCCATTTGCATACTTAACCACACTAGTGACCGGAGCAATCTAGCGAAGGTCACAAACTTAACACTTTCTGTTGTACCAAAGTCCTTACTAATTTTGTGCATCAACACTTCTAAAAATAAAACCTAGAAATCTTACACCAAGTTAAAAGTATAAGAAAATCCATAAGTGAAGATTAGCACAAGGACTCGAATTCTTCAAATCCGAGCACTCTCCCCATTCTTAAATTTTACCGCTCAGTTTTTTTATCTTTGGAATATCACAATGAAGAAAGATAAAGAAGAAATAGAAAATAAAAGATTATGGAGAAGGAAGAAATGAGAAAGAACACGAGTTCAAAAGGAATGAGTGTGTTCGTGGCAGGAATTTCTGTGTGGGGGATGTTTCCTGGCCGACGAGCACACAGCTCCCCGAGAGGTCGGCGCCGGTTGATGCTTTCTGTCGGGCTTCTGCTTTACTGGCAGGCTTGTCGGGCAAGGCTTGTCGGGCAAGGCTGAAAGAGAAGGACAGAGTTAACTTTGAAAGGTGCCTTTGTGGGGCCTTAGGTGTAGGCCTTGAGGCTCACAATCAAGATTAACTTTTAAGTGTTCAGGCGTGCCACTGCCATCTCCAGCATGGCAGATATAGAACGGATGTTGGAGTTAATTATATATATTCGAGAGACTATGTTAGTTATTGACAGGTGCCTTTGTGGGGCCTTAGGTGTAAGCCTTGAAGCTTCCCATAAATAACTAACTTAGTACTTGAACACATAGGTTCATTTTCTTGGTTACATGAGTCTTATAACCATCATACTTCTGATTACCTAAGCCCAAAGAGCAGAATGAATCCAAATATGTGCCTTTGTGGGGCCTTGAATAGGCCTTAAGGCTTCCCATTAGAACTCCTTTTATACTCAATGTTCTCGCCCGAGTAATAGGATGAATCCAAATAGGTGCCTTTGTGGGGCCTTGAATAGGCCTTGAGGCTTCCCATCAAAATTCATCCCGTACTCGAACGTTTATATGGTAATCATAATATAACAGAAATAAGTGACAGGTCGATTACTTGCGTCTCAAGTAACTTCAGACTTCTTGTTATCAAAACTTGTCGTGGATGGGTTAAGTCCACATCAGGTTCTTTTTTTTATGCCTTGAGGCCAAGGACTTTTTAGAGTGATCAAATCTTATATGCCCGAAGGCTTAGAACTGAGATTTAGCTTGAACTGTGAAGACATATTCAAATCGGATTCAAGCGCTGAGAGAGAGTCTTTTAATAGCCATATTACTAGAAATAACTTGGATACAACTTGTAGTATACAACATATTGCTAGGCTAATGAATGAAAAGACAAAAACAAAGAGGGTCGGGCAAGGTTTAACCTTGTTGGGCAAGGCTAATCGTCTTGCAACTTCCTATCTTTGTGGTTTATCAGAAGCTTTGGAAGCTTAGAACAGGGGTTGGGAGGTGAGTTTACAAAAAGAAATCGATACTACAGCAAGAGTTGAACAAGGTAGCAGAGCTATTACAATAAGGTTTATCCCGAAAGGGATGAAGGCTTGGGCTGACTACAGCTTCGTTTTTAAAGGCAAATCTGGCTTTGAGCAGAGTTTGTGCTTGTATTTGTTTGTTTGAGTGTCCTTGATTCTGACTTCTCTCTCTCCTTTTATAGACACCTTGGCTTGGCCTCCTATAGCAATAATCTTGCTCGAATGCAGTTTGAAGGATAGTGACTCATCAGCTATTTACTTGTACTGCCACCATAAAGTACTTTTGGGCTGATTAGCTGGCTGGTCTATAGCACTTGGCCCTTGGGTAGGTGAGCAAGCGGTGCAAAATGATCTGCACCTAGTCGGGAAAGGCCTTTTCTGCCTTCTGGACTTGGGCTGTGCTTCGGGCTTCTCCTTCTCTTTTTGGGCCAACTCCCTTCTAAGCCCAAAGTTTAAGTTTTAACCCAAACATAGTGGATAGAGGGTCTGTGCGTGTGGAAGATTGGAAATGAGAGAATTAAGGGATGTGGGTGCGTAGGTATCAGAGAATTAGGGGTTTGGGAGTTAATATCTTTTGATTTATCAATTAAACACATCCAAAATAAATGGAAAAATATGTAAATACCTAACTAAAATTATTAAATTTCATTAAATATACTAGAGGCCCATTTATTTGACTCTAATATCTGAAATTAATAGCAACAATTTTTATTCTGCCCCTATCACTTTAATCAAAGGCAAATCTATATATCCGCCCCTAATGCAAATTAATAGAGACGAATCCTTATTTTCGCCCCCAAGCTACTGCCCCTAATAATCAATATTCTTGTAGTGATGATCGGGCTCGTTCATTGTATTATTTTGGAGTCAATTATTGTTTTGGTGGAAAATGAGAAAGTTTGGAGATAAAATGACAGTCGAAAATTACATTAATGTTTATAACCGTTGAATATTTGGTCACGTTACCTAACATCAAAAAAAAAAAATTGTGTAATTTTTGGTGTATACGATCTCATATTTATATGAATAATACTGATGGTTGGATTGTCAAAAATAATTATACAGAGTCCAACAATCATATATGGATTTGGATATGTGAAATAAGGCATGAACTTAAAAGATGGAGCCTCCGTCAGACAAACTTAAAATATNTCTTCTGCATTCTGACAAGCTGAACCTGATGTGAGGTCAAACTTTTTTGAGCCGATTTACAGCCCTAGCTCTGATTGAGGTTTTATTGAGATCAATTCCGTTCATATCCTTAACATGTAAACAACTCTACGAAATTTTCATCCCAGTACATAGTTTTATTTGTTTATTAGGGCCTTAGCTACATAGTTTTATTTGTTTATTAGGGCCTTAGCTAGCTTCATGCAATCCCAAGAAAATATTGGGCAATTTCCATGCAATCCAAAGCCAGTAGGGCCAAACAAAGTTGACAACTACGTACTTAGGCATGAACAAATCACGAATACAATTGATGAAGAGAAGATTTCAAAGAGGAATAAACATCATTCCAACCATTCTGAGAGAGGTGCACCGTGTCCCAAAAGAAGGACCTCTCAGGATTACTGCATATGCCGTACTTCTTTGCTCCGGTACTCTCGTCCACACTCCCACATGAGTATTCGCTGCCCACCCCGACACAGCACGGTTTCAGTGGATCATCAATCTGGACCATCATTTTCCCTGCTATACCAAGAAAGCATGAGCTCGATCAACTGCTTGAATTCTCATAAACAAGCATATCATAGAATGCATAGATTATGCAGCAACTGAGATATTAACTAATATTTATTTCCGTTACAAGATATCAAAAAATATATAATCGTACTATACATGTAGATGATACGTTGCCGAGTGCGCGCATTCCAGTACCAGACAATTAACAGTTACTTGATCTTAAATAGAGGAACTAAAGAGACGGTCAGCTAGTTGGTGGTTCGTATATCATGCATTGTTAAAAATGTCATCCTGCATGCATTCCTTTCTGTACAATTTTTCGTTGTGTTTTTTCGCATGATGACTTTTATGGAGTGGATTGAGTGTCAACAACAGCAACCATTCAACGCAATTACGTACCTTGATGGTCTTTCTGGGGCTTAATTGCAGACAAAAATGCGCCATAGAGATCCAGGATTATAAATGCAGATTTCTTCGACTCCTTATTCAACTGTTCCACGTTTTGGCGCAAAACTTGGTTGTGGAACATCGACGCCAAGTTGAGCGTTTCGCTGCAGTTCTGATAGGAAAGGAAGGAAGTTAAGAGCGGCAGACATCCCATGGGCTCTAGTGCTGTCACTGCTATTTTTCGCACTCCCAAATCACGTATACGCATCAAATCCACAGCAATCTGCTTAACAATCGATTTGGTGAACTCTGCCAAATCCTGTCATTTGGAGGAATATCAGTGCTGAAGTTAGTAGCAAGTCTCACAACTCAATATATATTTGATATGATGCCAAGAACCCCAAAAATAGTTATTACTTGATTCCAAAAAGTTCAATTTTTTTTAAAAGCCATGGTAATCTTTGTATCTAATTAGAGTGTGTAATGCTAGGTGTTAAGCATTACGTAGAAAAGAGAACAGAGAGATTGTAGAAGAAGAAGAAGGAAATAGAGAAAACTTAGAGAGAGAAAGAAAATGATTTTTCACTTGTATTTTCTTGATTGATTCACTAGTTGCAGAGATACAGTTGCTATATAGATGGATAGGGGTGGTTCGGTATGGGATCCCATACCGAAACACTTGTCCCGATTCCCAAACCAAATTTTTCAGGAATCCCAATTTGAATACCGATCCCAAACCAAATTTTCGGGAATCCCAATTTTCGGGAATCCCGAAATAGTTTCGGGATTTCGGGACAAATCGGGAATCCCGAAATGGTTTTGGGCTTTTGGACTAAAATTTGACATATTATGCTTATGTAACTCATTGAATGAATTGTTAGATTGTGCAAACATATCAAGCAAGTCTCATTCACATCTCTTGCTAGTTTAAATGCAAATATAATTTCATATCGGGGCACAAGCATTGGATTGCAAACTGTAAACTTTGCTTGAAGGCTCTTAACCTGACTGACAAGCATTGCTACCTTGCGCTGCTTTGCTGTCCATTTACCAGTAATATGCATATGTAAAATACATATTTACAATGCCAACAAGCTCCATTTATTGGTGTAAACAGTAAAGAGACTCAAGCATAGTAACTAGCTGATCCAACATTCTTGGCTTCGACATAAATGAAACAACATTGCTTACGTCATATCATAATTCGTAACATATTCCATTCTCTGTAATAAGTTCAAACCATAAAGTCCATAATCAATTATAAAAGAATAATATATATGTATAAATATATATATATATATATATAATAATTAATAATATATATTTTCGGTTCGGTATGGGATTTCCGAAATATCGAGAAGCCAATCCCGAATCCCGTACCAAAATTTCAGGATCGGTTCGGGATAGCATCCCAAAAATTTTGGGAAATTTTTGGTTTGGGATTGGGATTTTTTCGGTTCGGTTTGGGATTTTTGGGAATTTTTTCCACCCCTATAGATGGATATTCACCTAACTGCTTTATCCGAATCTTACACTAGCAACAATCCTAACTGCTTATCTGTTTGGCTAATGACATGTGTCATGATCCACACTTTCCATATCCTATATACTCCAACACTAGGTAGACTAAATTTGCAAACTATATGATGTGTCACCAGTAGAAAATAAGCTTGTTAATCAACCGTTAGATAATAATTCAATCATTAACAATCACGTCATGTGGTTTAGTGGCAGAGCCTGAATTCTTTGTGAGAGGTTTTTCATATATGTATTGAGAAAAGAAATTTGAATCAAAACATGAACAATTGATGCAATCTTCACAAAATTGAAAGACTCACTAAATTTAATAGAGATAATCAAAGAAGTGTATAATACAATTAAGTGGGAGGTTGTAAGCAGCGTAACCAGTAAAAATTGGAAATATAGGAAGAAAATTCAAAGAAATTTGGTTTGAATCGTTTGACAGAAAAAGGAAGGCAAAGAGGAGGGTTACAAATAATAGTGGATTAGGTTGCTTTAGAAGTAACATTAAAGTCAATTTTAAGATCATATCCCTGAGTTTCACTAAACTATAAAGGCAAAGCAAACAAAACTATTAGAAAAATATAAGATGTAGTCAATTCAACTTTTTCATAAGGACAATTCATCTTCTTCCCCCTGTCTAACGGTTCTACAACATAGGCTTAAGGTTGGCAGAAATTTCTTACATAGTGATCAAGATGGGCTCGGAACCGCTTTGGTCCTCTAGTGGCTCTGCCCATGATATGGTTACAAAATTTAATTTGAAATTTTAATCTCTCTAACATTATTCATTTCAGTGTCTACACCTATCCTTAAATGTTGAATAATGCTAGGGAGACCAACAATTTAGATCAAATTTCATAAATTATGTAACGTGGTTGTTGATGATTGAATTATTGCTTAAGTGTTGATTAATTAACGTGTTTATTTTTTATTGATGACACATCTAATTTACAAATTTGATCTGAAACTTTGATTTATCTATCATTACTTTGTTTGCTATTGATGATATCTGACGTACGAAAATTATGCTGCAATAAACCGTCCTTTGACAACAATTTATCACACGTTACGTGTAGAGTATTAATATTCAAATGCAAGAAATAATTAATACGAAGGAGTAAAGATACACCAATAAACTCCAAAATATAATCTTATCCAAAAACAATAAACTCTATATTGGTTTTCACAAAAGGGGACAAAAAGGCCAAACTGCAAGAACCTTGATTATAATGTTAAAACTAACTCCGTATATGTGTTTGTAAGTGCTTTTAAAATATCCGAAAGCGTCTTTGGTTAAAGTGTTATTAGAACTCGAAAAGCATTTTATGTGCATTTTGGAAGAAACACCAATTGTATGCTTTTAAAAAACAGTACTTCAACCGTTTTTTATCCAAAGTTTACTTGAATATATACTAAAGATTGGTTTTAAAAACACTTTCATTAAAAGTACTTTCAGGCATTTCAAAAGCACTTTCAAACACTATAATTGTATAACCAAAGGTCCAAAACTCACGAAGACTTTTGAAACAATATATATAAAGCTAGCTGAACCACCACTTACCTTACTGCCATTGCCTGGTTTAACGAAATGAGTTGTGTAGTCGTTCCCCGCAACTGACACTAGAGCTACGGAGGATTTAATTAAGTCGCGTTTGTCATACACTTTTTCTTGTTCAAGCAGCCGTTGGAAAAAGCCGATTTGGGTGGTCAAGTTTGGTCCACTCACCAACGTATCGAAAACTCCCGTCCCTCCATATGCAAAGTTCATCCCGTTCTCCAGTTTCGATTTCTTCGCATATTTTCTCAATGCGTAAGGTAATGGAGATCTTATACCCAAAAATTGAGCTGCATAAATATATTACAACATATAATTAATTTAAATTTACAATACCATATATGCTATAATAATTAATTCATTTATACATTATTCCATTTCTGATATGCACAAGGATATATCAATGTTAAGGAAAAATTGATATTGAACGTTTATCACTTACAAGTTAAAAAGAAATATTATTAGACCGTTTAAAATCTAAATAAAAATACTCTTGAGTTGAGAGAGGGTAGGAAAACGTACCCAAATAATCAGTGAGCACACGACCATCGGAAAAGCGGCCGGCAGGCTTTCCAGGAAATGTGATCCCATAAGGTTCCTTCCACGAAGGAGATACAGATTTTCTGACATTCCCGGTATCAGCATACGAGTCCCCGAATACGAAAAGTTTGATGGAACCATCATTTTTGTGAGGTTGGTGGTGAAGGTGGGGGTGTGCCTCAAGAACTTCTGCTACTGCATGTAAAAAGAAATTAAAAAAAACGTAGTAATTAAATATCCGAATTAATAAATGAATACAATTTGTTTTATGTAATTCTAAAATAAATAATAATTAAGTTATTTGACTAACCAGTTGAAGTGGCGACACATAAAAGAAGGAGACAAAATGAAGAGGCGACGGTGGGTTTCTTCTCCATTGAAACCAGAATATTAATTAGGAGTAATGTTCTTGGGGAAAGATGCTGGGATGAGGACGATATATACATATATATACATACATACATACATGTAACTTACTCGAGAGCATTAGGTTTTACAGCTTGGAAAACGGAAAAAAGGAATTGAGAATTCATATAATACAGTCCAAATGCTTCATTTATATTTAATTTATGACCTAATTAACTTTATTGGTACAATTTCCATTTAAGAAATTTTCCCTTCTGTAAAGATGGCAAACATTTATGACATAATATTTGGATTTGTATGTAATCACTGTCAATCAAACCATAACTAAATAACATTTTGGACTTTATGATCATTGCAAGCGGTGAAGTGCTTTCCGGAATAAGTACGTGCTTCTTTTATAACCTAACCCTTTTCATATCAAAGTTTATAAAGCTACCTCACATTATGGTCTTGGATTCAATTTTTGTGAAATGCAAGTTCGATATATTTGGTATCCTGTTGTGAACCACTTTTGCCCAACAATCCGTTTCAGTTTTTTGACCCGCAGAGAAAGACGTAAGCAGCTTCATCTTTTCCTGATCCTGACATCTCTCTCCCTCAACCCCTTTTCCTCATCTGACTCTCCCAATTCAAATATGGAGAGCTAAAGAAATGCGATGAGGAAGATAATTAGACAAGAAAGACGAACCTGCGTGCCTCTTCTCTGCGCGTCAAAAGACTAAAATGGATAATATGCCTAAACATAAGGTACCATTTGGTACGTGGGACGAGACAAAATGGAGTGAGATGAGACATTTTGTCCCCCGTTTGGTGAGCCTAAAACCGGTGGAACGCGCCGTTCCACGGGACGAGTTTTGGGTGAATTTTTGTTCCGCCTCACCCTCCTGGAACGACTCGTTCCACATCCGTGGAACACATATCACCGATTCTATATCCACTCAAATCTTCAAAACCCCTCCTCTCCCATGGCTGCCTGCATCGATACTCAGACCAACTTTCTCGGGATCCCAACATGTCCAGTTCCGATGAAGCCCGTTACCAATTCATGAACTTCTGCCACTGCAGCTTTTCCAATCAAGTTTCTTGCGCACCCATTTGCCATAACCGCACGAAAACCACTCAAACGTGCACAATCGTGGAGGATCTCGACCCATATGAAGATCTATGGCTCAGAATGCAGGATGAAGCTCGCCCGGATATTGATGATGAACCTATCTTGTCAAATTACTATCACTCGTCGATTCGAGAGGTACCCACTTGGTTTTTTACAACGATTTGTTCGAAATCGGTCTGAAAGATTTCTTATCTGTTTCGTCCTGCACGTACCAAACATACACGGAACCTCCGTTCCGTCCCGTCCTGCCTACGTACCAAACGGTACCTAAGTGACAGTAATAACTCAAATCTATTTCTTTTGAAAAGTAAAATTATGGTACTATCAAAGGTTAGAGGAATTCAATGTGGTACATAACAATTCACTTCTTGGTGGAAAATCTCTCTTCTCTCTCTTTCATCTGGTTGCTGGCCTGGTCTAGCCCCCGCCGCTGTATCTTGGAGGGCTAGTCTTGGCAACATCAACTGATGCAGGAAGAACAAAATGACCGAGGGAGATAATCTGGGAATCACTCTTCAACTGATGCAGGAAGAACCAAATGACCGGGGGAGATAACCTGGGAATCACTTTTTTTTTTTTTTTGAAAGCAACGACATCATTCATTAGAGAAGCACAAACTTGGGAATCACTTAACCAGGGCAACAGAACTCACTTGATGTTGCTATGAGGATAAAATCTAAGAATCACTCAACCAGGGGCAACAGAATTACTCACGTTGCTAACCGTGGATTCACTCAACACAACCAAGCCTAACACTTGATTGAAGGAAGGAGAGTGAGTTTTCTCCTTCCTTAAACCAAGCATTTGGCTTGGTCGTATGAGCGAATCCACGATTAGCAACGTGAGCGAGCTCTGTTGCCCCTGGTTGAGTGATTCCCAGGTCATCTATCCCCTGTTCTTTCCATTTACCATTGGTTATTCCTGCATCAAGTAGCACCAAAACGGGTTTTTGGATTTTATCCGAAATCCTGGTGGTAGTGTTGCCCACATCATTTGTGTTCGTCGTCAAAACTGACTTAATTCCCCTGACTTTCATTTGAAGAGTTACATATCATCAGAAAGCTTTGGGAGTCTAGTTTTCAATGCAACAAACCGTGCATCAAACCAAATTTTGTGTGTGCAGATATCGACAAAACACCACAAAGCATCAGTGTTGTCGCGAAAACAAAATCAATTCTCTTGCGAGTTAGTTTTCAATTTGGTTAAGTATTTCTCGACCTTCATGCCATATATCATTTGAAATCCCTTCCAGTCTAGTTTCTAAATTTTCAAGCAGTTCCTCAATCCGTTATTTCTACAAAATAATATCCTCAATTTACTAAAGCATCTTGCTGCTGCCAGTAAATGAGGTTGGATGGATTCTGGGAACGGCTATCTTTGTTTTTTCAGGTGACGATATTCTAAATCTCAATCTTCCTCCAAATTTTGATCGTTATCCAGATAGTTCATGTGAGATTTGTTTTACATGTATTGAGGTTGAAAAACGTTCCAACATGGAGTTTGGCTTGAAGGGGGAACATATAGAAAACAATGATGTAGTTGAGAACTTTGCCGAATGGGATTCTGCCCTGGTTTATGATCATTACGAAGGCGATGAAGATGTAATTGAAGAGTTCCATGGACAACTATATAATGGAGTACAAGCTCTTATTATCCGTAGCATTCATGATCATTTTTGGGACAGTTTCGTTGCTCAAGATATGAGAGGAGAGCTCTTTGATAGAAGAACTTTTCAACATAATTTGAATTATCTCAGCTCATTTGAAGAAGTGATTTGGAAGCATTATTCCAAGGTGATTATTTTCAAGAAGAAAAGATTAATGTGTGCATGGTCTATAAGAACTTGGAAAATTTTGGTGCCAAATTGGGTATTGTGGAACATCTTGATTGGACATCCAAAAGATGGAGGAAAAAAGAAGTCAAGTGAACCTCAATGATGAGTTTTTTTTCGAGAAGATGAGAATGATGCGGGAACAAACATACAACTTGGAAATTGGTCACATGCATTGGAATTGGAATAATAATGGCAGTGCACTTTTAATTACTTAGAAATTTGTTAGGTCCATTTAGAATATGGTGAGAGTCTTTTAGGAAGTTGTAATTAATTTATGATTCTTTTATCTTTCTTTAAATTATGATGTAATACAATCATTTGGGGATGATTAATGAAAAATAGTTTATTTGCCTTGTGCATTTGAAGAGAGTGATTTCTCCTCTTAAAATCAAGCATTTTGCTTAATCTTGTGAGTGAATCCACAATTATTGAGATCATATTTTATACAAAACGAAAAGCATGTTGAAACTTGCCTTGCCATTCATCTCTCTGAGAGCTGCACTAGCAGCTTCCTCTGTTGGATAATGGCTAAATTAGTGGCCAAGTGGACAACAAGCTAAATCACCTTTCGGCTATTAAACAAACTAAAAGAATGAAGGACATAATGATGTGGGAACATCATTAGGAGGGTTTCCTTTATGATGTGGCCACATGAGTGGCAATTATGATGTTTGTTCCTTTTGTTTATATTAAGGCATTTGATTATGCCTTTGGTTGGGTGGGGGGAGCGGCATCAAATGAGAGCCATACCAGGGAGAGCGTTCGGCTCTCCCATTTGAAACAGTGATGCTCCTTCGCATTTGTTTGTAATCCCCTTTTGTTAGTAATCCCTCAATCAAAGATGTTGCTGCTACATGTTGTGTAGCTTTTGGGAGAGATGGTATTTGATGTGTGTCCATCTTCTCCAATTGTTCTTTGTGAGAGTGAGAGCTATTGGGTGTATGTGGGATTTGGGTTTAAGAGTTAAAACTCTATTTGTAATATCTTTTTGATATTAGCGGAATTTCCTCGCCGTCTCGGAACTGGACGTAGGCTTATGCCGAACCAGTATAAATCTTTGTGTCATTTGGATTATTTGTCTTATCATATTTTGCCGTTGTAGCTTATTGGTTTCATATTTGACGCTTCCGCACAACATCCTCCGTAGTGTATTCTATGAATGCATAACCTTTTGACCTTTTAGAAATTTTGTCCATTATTATTTTAACTGTTGAGACCAGCAGCTGATCAGCGTGAGCATACCAACGGCAGGAAACCAAACACCATTTTAAGTAATAGAAAAAGGTAGTACCTTCAACAAGCTCTCCATAGCCTTCAAATGCAGCACGTAGGGTTTTCTCGAATGCATAAAACGATAGGCCTGTTCAGAAAGGAAGTTATTTTTAAGGGAATATGTAATGAGAGGGAAAAGGGAGCTGCAAAAAGTTAGGAATATCGAGATCTTATGAATAATTACAAATTACAACGGATTAGTGCAAAGTTTAGCGAATAATAATGCCAGAATAAGAGTTAAAACTTAGCCAGGGATTACAAGGACGAGTACCATTTCATAGTTTACTCGAAAATATCAACAAGCCAGGAACCCTATTCAAATAAATGAATGTTTAAGATCAGAACTGAATCTGCAACATACCAGTCACAAAAAAGTTTCTTTGTTTTTATGAGGTCGTTTCACTTGCCTCTCCAGATGTTGACAGATCCGTAGAATTCTGTAAATTGTTACCTGAGAAACACATGGCTAACTCATATACATGTTTACAGGGGAAAATACTGTGAAATGTTGTGTTAGCATTGATGCCATTAAACAGAAAATGACCTAACAAATGTTGAAATAAAGCTATCCGAAACTGGATTCTTGAAAAGAAAAGCAAAATAAATAGTGATGACGGTCTGTAGATGTGCACCTGATAATGCTATTACTGTCAGTTTGTTTATAACCAACTTCATATTTTCTTCAGGAATCTTTAACTTCGTATCAAACCATGAATCAAAAGGAGAAGCAGCAAATGATGCTTTAATGGAGAAACAAGTGCAACAAGTAGAAGTGAAGGAAAATGAAGGGATACTGAAAGGGTTGTAGTGGGTGGGTGAGATGGGGAACCGGAGGTTGGGAGTCGGGGCCTGACGCTGGGTTTTGGGAGGTTTGAATGACAATTTGTTGATACGATAACTGCTGAGGGGGAACAGAGGGACTCCATGGCTGCTCAGCCGCCCCCGCATTCTCATGTCGACAAGTGTCCCATGACTTAGTGATAAATGAACAGAGTTGACCTTAAATTGGACTATGCAAAAGATTTTTTCAAGGTCAAATCGGATGGATAAATAATCTATGTGATCATAAGATATTCAGAAAATAACCTATGTGCTAAAAAATTTGGATTTAAACCCTAATGGTGTACTCCGTTAGCAAATTTAGTCCAAAAGTGATTTTTCTGAGTTTTTTTAGCACAATAGCTATCTTCCGAATAGCGTATAACCACATAGATCATTTATCCAATTTGACATTTTTTCAATGTAACCGGAACATGTACCCTTGCATTGGTGTATATCGATTAGAAAATCTGTTCACTAGATGTTGGGTTCGATTCTATTAGGTTTTTATCAAAACTGAAAGCCAAAATCAAAATTATTATTCGGTTCTGCTCGGTTCAATTTTCTTTAAATTTTTTCGAATTCAGTTTGATTTTTTTTTCGATTTTGAAACCCATCCAGCGTTCACACACATTATTCAAAAGAAAAATTAATGAAAAGTATTTGAAAACTTTGAGTTTTAATGATAAGAAAAATATAAAGGATAAAATAAATAGTATTAGGATTAACTTTTTAATGTGAAAATGTGATTTTTTATTAAAATGAATAATACTTTTCGTTAAAGTTACTCAAAGGAGTTTATGAAAAAAATAAACAAAACAAAGAGGCACGTGTGACGTGCGAAAGAAAATCCCACGCACCCACCCGCAAAAACACACAATCCATCGTCACCCTATCTCCCTTTCCCTGCAATTCCATTCGTTGTCTCTCTCTCTCTCTCTCTCTCTCCCAATTCTCGTTCCGAAACCCTAAAGAAAAAGCCCCAATCAATCTGACATGAAATCCAAACCCCAAAATCTCGTTGGGGTTTCAATCTCAGTCTCGGAGGACACACACGTCGTTCCATGAATTGTTCGCCACCCTTCCTCAAACCCTAGCCTCGATTTTCTTTCCCCTTTCCCCTTTCGATTGCGCGTATTTTACATACCCAGAGAGGATAGAGAGAGAGAGGTTGCGATCGATAGGCCATGGAGGGCTCTGTGGCGGAGGATCTCGGAGCCCCGGAGTCATGGGAGGTCGCCGGTTTGGACGACGCCTTGAACCGCCTGATGCTTTCCTCCAACAAGGATTCCAAGCCCCCCCAAAGCCTCAGCGACGTCCCGCCTTTGGTTTCCTCTTCTTCTGACGCTTCTGATAAGTTTTCCGAGGATGCCGTCAATCAGGTCGACCAGTTCCTTCGCGAGGCCTTGCAAAACCCTCGGGAGCGCCTATCAAGTAAGCTTTGCGTACATCCCTATAAGTCAAGTTCATGTTTTTGCTTCTTAGAAAAACTCGACACGAAATTGAAGCTGAATGGGGTTTTTTATGGCTAATTTTGTTATAGTTTTCGTTTCGCAATCTTGTGTGGGTTGTATGCATCTTACTGCCTGTTCCACATTTGCTAGCATTTTCTGCCCGTGCCATTCTTGTCGCAGTTAGGGTTTTCTTTAGAAGTGCCTGTATGAATAACAGAAAGGAAGGCATAAGAAAAAGTCATAAGCCACTGGCCGAACACTTCAATTCACATAATTTTAGCTGCTATGGTTTTGATCTTCCTTTGTACTTTGTTGGAAAGCTATAGAGATGAAGTTGACATGTTGTAATATGTCTTCTAACACATGAAATGCTTTTCCATTTTATTTTATCTTTTAGTCCATATTCACATCGAAACAGCCTGAGGACTTCCTTCATTTAGCTAGTTTTAGTTTCTAAAAGGGTTTAGTAGTATTTGAAAGTGAAAGAGTGATTACCAGTTCTACCTTATCTGACCTTGCTGATCCCGAATCTAATCAAATTGGAATGTTTGACACAAATTTTGTTTGCGATGAGAAGAAGAATGGTTTTTTTGTTGTAAGAGAATTAAGTGAGTCAATTCCGTAAAACTAAGAAGAGGGAAGTTTGCTAAACTTCCTATATTAACTTCTCAATGATGTTGGCGAATGAACTCGAATTAAACCTTGTTTTCTTGGAATCTTTTATCATTGTCATGGCCATTTTATTATAATTATTGTAATATGTTTGGTTAGATGCTGTCAGAATGTGCTGTCTTGTTTGGATTAACTAGAGTAAACCCTATTCATAGATATCTTCTTGTACAGTTTTACGAATGGAGCAAGATGTGGAGAAGTTTATCCGTGATCCTCTTCAGCAGCAACTAGAGTTTCAGCAGTTGCCCACTTCTTATTTACGCTTGGCTGCACATCGTGTGGCTCAACATTATTCGCTTCAGTCAATGGTTTTATTAGATGATAATTTACCTGATGGCTCTGGTTCCAGAATTATTGTCCGCAAAACTCCTGAGTGTCGACTCCCTTTGATTCGCCTTGCAGACATCCCTCTTAATTTACCGTCGGAAGACAGCGGTGTTACTAAGGTTGCAATAAAACAGAGGCCACAGAAATGGTCACAGGGTGGAAACAGTGTAGACTCAAATTCATTAAAGGCAAACAGTGCTAAAAGTGTGGAAGAACGGAAAGAGGAGTATAACAGGGCTCGTGCACGAATATTTAACTCTAGTATTAATACGAGTGGCAGTTCAAGTGGGAAATCAGAAAGTGAACCAAAGCTGCAGGATACTCCACAACATGTACCCTTGGTGATGCCAAAGGTGGAAGATATGTCAAATGTTTCTGAGTTGCACTCTGGTAGGGGTTTAATCGAGACTTCAACAAGTAGCAATAGAACAGCTAGAATTAGGCCAGAGAAGGAGCCAATTGGGAGGTACAAACCAAATAATAGGGTAGCTATATTTAGGGATCGTGAGATTGACCGTAAGGACCCTGATTATGACAGGAGCTATGACAGGTATGGTATACAATTTCTGTAGTGACCATTTATTCTTCTCTCTGATTATTTGTTTGGTAATCAATTGTTCCTTACCAAAATAGTTACTGTCTTCAGTATTGAAGCCTGTCCTTTCATTCACGTGAGGACCATCATCTTTTTGTGTTCGGAGGCAAAATCTCATCTCATAATTGTTTTTATGGTCATGGTTTTCTATTTGCTTAAGCTACTCTTCCCTTTCTGTTTTGTTTCTTAAACAAACAAAAGAAAATATAGTCTTATCTATCCATGCAAAATATGGTTCTTATCAGCGTTGCTATTGTTGTCAGTATTGAAGCCTGTCCTTTATTGTGACCGTGATATTTTTGGATGATCTGGTCATTACATGGCTCAAAATCTTAAGCATCTGCCTTCTCGTACTTTACCTGCTATGTTAATTCTTAAATCCAACTAATCCTTAATGAATGCTGCAAGTTGATAGAATCCAACAAAGTAAGAACTTAAAGGTGTAATGTTGTAGTCCCCTTAATTTCCATGTAACCCTGGCCAGAAAATTGTTCTTGAGAACACGTTATTAGCTCCCAGTTTGTTTGGTCTTTTCTATTTTATAGCTAACCAAAGTCTATGATAAAATATTTTGCAGGTACATGCAAAGATTTGATCCTGGGTTTGGATTCAATGGTGGTCCATATGCCATCCAGCCTATGTATACACCTGCATTGAACTACAACACCGAATTTCCTCAACTTGGTTCTGCACACAGGCCTCAGATTTCTACTGAACATCAGGCTTGTCCTCTTCCACAACACCTACCTGGGCCTTGGGTTCCACCGTCGCCCCCTGCTGGAATTGGGTATGGTCATCCGGAGACCATAATCACACCATTTAATCCGAATCATGTTGGTGCACAATCAACATCTGGCATTTATCTGCATTCATCCCAGTATCCTTGTCAGCGCCCTGGAATGGCCTTTGTCCATCCTCATGAACATGTTCACCAACCTTTTTCACAGGTATGGCAATTCAACAGCTGTCTTCTCTAAAGTCAATTAAGTAGTCTTGTCAACTTCTTGTTGAAGAGGTACTTCTTTTGAAGGAAAAAGAAAATCAATCTTTTTATTTCCCCTCTTTTCAAATGTGGTTTGAGGTACTCCCTATTAATTTGCTACTGCATTAGAACACTTCTGGTTTGAGGGCACTGAACAGAATCCTTCTCATTATATTATATTTTGGTTGGCTCTCTTGCATCTTGCATTCATAAATCTCCACCTGACCTAATCTACTTCACAGTAATTACAACACAACTCATTATTTATTAACTAAATACAGATGGGTCCCACTGAAATAATTTTGTGCTGCGTCATTGGTGATCCAAATCATTATTTATGTCTACTGTTGGCAAATGTAATGGGTACTCTCCCATGTATCACTTTTCTGTTTGATGGATTTTTTGTAATCTTATTTTCCATGAACTTCACCCCTTAATATGATTTTTAGTACCACCTTCTTGTGTAGCATTAGCCGCTACTATCCCTTTTTTAGAAGTAGAAATCCTTGTATACCAAAAGAAAGAACGGTTTTTAATTACCTCTACTTGTCGTTATTTGTTTTTCAGCTGTTTTTGGATGAACTAGTAATAAGTCCCAAAAAAAAAAAATCAAGTTCTGTTTATTTTTTGCTCCAATATGGGGCTTAAAAAAAATTTGTTCATAGATATAAGTGGCTAAAAAATAAATAATTGTAAAATTTATGGCAGCTATATGAATGAACAAAAATCTGTCTTCTTACGTAAAAGTTTGTTGTTTTATTACTAGAAAGTTTCTTCATTTTCTTTAATTTTCTCCTCCTGCTAAACTCTGGGAAATGTCATCTAAAGTAGAATCATAAGTCTGCTTTCTAAATTGCAATTTTCGTTGTGCATTTTTATTTGGAAAAAAAAAAAAGGGCTGTGGTGTGTTGCTTAAGGTTTCTCAAGTAATAGGTTTCACTTGTTTTGACTGCTTGGAATATGGTGCTTGTGTTTTATTTATTTATGTTTTTCTTTTTACAGTCTCATCAACAGCAACCTGATGCAAGTTTTGGGTTAGCCCGGCCCTGGTGAGGGGCAGGGGCTGTGCCTGCACCCTGCCTGCTTGTAGTCGAGCATGAAGTATAATGGGCTGTGAGAGTCGCACGTGTTTCAGTTGGCAGGAGTGCAGGCATAGGGAACCAAGGCGGGCTTGAGTGGATGGATCATTTCTATGGACACAGACATCATCTGTTCTCCTCTTCCTTGGTTCCAACGGAAGCTTCTTCCATCTGTGATGAATGATGAAGAAGCTCCATGGGTTTGGAAATTATATCTAAATAAGCTCTCGAGAGAGCTTTGTGACCCTATGATGACGAAGATGATTTAGAAGAATCTGAACAGAGCTGAGAAAGTATGTCTCTGCTTGGATGAAGGTATGCTCTCCGGACACTATCACATACACACACGCACTGTGAATGAGACTTGTGCACTGGCTGGTATAAGATGTGGTGGCGCACCGTTGGTGAAAGTGGATGGGATACATCTGATCTAGCAAATTGGCTGTTAATTTTTCCAGTTTTCAACTCAAGCTATACTTGGATCGCCTCATTTGTATATATGTCGATATTAAAGCTTAACCAAACTGTTGTGGATTTTGTTATGCAGGCTTTGGTTACTTGTTTAGAGAGTAAGCAGCATCGATATGTGTTTCTTTGATGTCTTGAAGCACTGAAAAGAGCCAGAGGGGGTCTGCATAGGAGGATTCTTTGGAACTATTTGTATGCCTTTGGGAGGTTTGATCTGCATCCAGGTTCTTCTGACAAAAAGATTTCAAAGTTGAAAATATAAAGTATTCTGCATCATGTTACGTATCATACGACACTTTGGTCTGTAGTTATTTCTTTTAATACGGTTTATTTAAATTCATAATATCTGTTGTAGTAATTATAAAACAAACCCGACGCGTATCTGCATCTGTCTCGCTTGGGAGATTCTGAGGAGCCATTGCCATGGTGCGATCTAGTTTCAGTTGAATTCTGAAATTAATTCTGGGTACGTTACAAGTAAAAGTGCCATATTGACAAGTTTTTTGTAAGTGGATAAATTGCTGTCAATTTTTTTTCTAATAAAAGTTGGCAGTCCTGGATCTTCTACGTAGTAGTCTTGCCTCACCCTCACCAGGTCAAGGAGGAAATATAAAGAAAAATAATAAACACAGCCTTTTTAACGTTTCATGTACTGCTAGTTATTGTTCCAATTTGATTTATTCAATTCGACAGCCATCAATAAAACATGGTACGTAAAGCTAAAAAGGTGTGAAATATCGCTGCCCGCAAGCACAGAAATCAGATCCAGATACCACATGCCAACACCTAGCAGAGGAATTCGGATCTTTTCCGGATCCCCAAAAACTGAGCCTAAGGATCAAATAATCTGGACCGTTAAAATTTAATCCAACGGTTACAAACAAGAAACCTTTCCAAAAGTTATAATAATTGTAACTGTTTGATCAAATTTTAACGGCCGGATCATTTGATCTTTAGACTAGGTTTTTGGGGATCTGGGTTCTTAGCAGAGGCAAGCAGTAACAGAAGCTGTCAAGAAACTCTCACTAAATAAAGTAGAAATGATCAAAATCTTTCTTTGATTGTGAAATCAATAACTCTGCGGAGTTTCAAAAACTTGGCCAAGGTAAGATATATCAATGCCTTCTTTGCTTTGCACGCTGATACGACCCTTTCCCCTTTATCTTCCATTTTTCATTTCCACCCGGCCGGTTTTTCTCTTCTATCTCGCGAACCTTCCGCTTTCTGTATGGTGGATCAATGAAATAAGCAACAGCATCATGGTAATAAAACTCGTGAAAGAAACCTCTGGCTATCTTATTACCTGTAGTTGCCAAGGTTACGATCAGAAAGCACTTCCTCTGCAAGGGACACCTTCCTTTCCTTCTTTGTAAGTCTGCTTGAGAAGAAATCTAATGGGGACTCTATCACTGTCCCTACCTGATAAACAGCCACAAGGCAGATAATCTCGTCAAATATACTAATACATCCCATGAACGGCTTCTTGTAACGTTATTGTGATACCGTATTCTAACCTGGAAATACTTGTTCGGTTGTGCATCCCCCTTTTTGTAATGTCTCTTTGGATCCATAACATTCCTTAACTGCAGTTAGAAAATTGAATGAGCCAACTATTACTTCCTTTTAACAACAACAAAAGCATCAGACCAAAAAATAAACGAAACAATAAAATGCAGAAGTTATAATTATAGTAATCCTTGCAAATGGATAAACCCGAAATCAATAAGCCGGTAAAATGGTGCATGAGCAGGCATATATCCCACTAGGTTCAAATAAACGTCAATTGATATGCTTTAGAACGGAAATGATCTGAATGATACAGGAATCATGGAAATATGAAAAATAACTGAACGTTGGAAGGGGTTCCAGATTCCAAAGAAATACCATCTCGTTTAATGTTTCAATGAACATATGGTCTGCGGATGGACAAGAAAAACACCACTCACTACAGAATGTGCTAGCAATTAGATGGTTCTTCTCGTTAAAACCAATTTGACAAGCACTTGGAATCATACCAAAGTAAGTGTACCGTCAAATGCAAACTTCCAAGTTAGTTTGGCTTTTGTTACATTCTCGATGCTAGAGATTCAGGTTGAAAGACTGTCCGATGTTTATTACTTCCAAGGTTGATGCAATGACATGGTAACTACAACTATAACCACAAAAACTTCTAAAAACACAGATCACTATGAGTAAAATAAGTACCGAGGCAAGCGCAAAATCGAGAAAACATGGAATGCACATGACTACAACAATGTGCCAATGAACAAATAACAGAAACACAACATAAGTTACCATACCTTGAGTAATTGGAGATCTTTCTGCAACTCCGGGGTCATGGTTGGTGCAGGCATGTCAAACCTAAATCAGAAAACACGTTACGAAACACCGAAAAGAATATGAATTTCAATCGCCGGCAAATTATATAGGGGAATCTAACAAAACCCAAGACTAAAAGGAAACAGAGTGAATTGAGCTGATAACATACCAGCTTGTTCCAGCAGTGTCTTTGATCTGCTTCTTGGCCAATTTGTTCCGCTTTACCGGGTCATTCGGCGGAACGAAGAGGCCATCTACAAGCTGCGTGCTGGGTTTCCAAAGCGGATTAGCTTCGGGGCGAGGTTTGGAGCCAGACCCATCTCGATTTTTGGAGGCCGATGAAAAAGCCGGCAACTTTGGCTCCCACGAGAGCCCAATCGCCGCCTTGCTTTTCGCCATTCTAGAACTCAATTTATGGAACCGAAACTCGAAAGAGCACCTATGGAAATTACATGCATGAGCTGATAAGCATAAAGCAGTTTTAATTCCTTTAAAAATTCAGAGAAGAGATGAAGATACCCAGAAACTAACGTCCATTTATTGACTGCAAACGAAAAGAACCAAAAAACCCATACCGAAAAGTGAAGGCCGCCCTAAATCAGAAAACCTTACCTGGATTTTGGGACTCGAAAGTCGAAGAAGAGGCCTAGCAGGGTGCGTGTGCTTGTCTGTGTGTGTGGCTTGCTTGTGGCTGGTTGGAGTCGCGTCGGAGAAGGTGGACGGAGGAGCGGCGCCGCGGATTCAAGAGAGATGACAGGGTTGGAGTGTTGGAGATATCGAGAGTGAATGAGAGAGATGGGATAGAGCTAATTTACGATGGACGGTTGTGATTAAATCTTAACCAATCCAACGGTTCAAGTAATTCTTAAATTATAAATTATAAATTATACATTCCCCACTGCTGTTTCTCGTAGGAGTCTAGGTCGTGTCTCGGCCCCAGTGTGGCTGATCATCCTCTCGAACCAGCTACTGATCATCGTCTTAGTAAGCTATTTCCTTACCAACGAGCTAATCAGACGCGACCATCAATGAATTGATCGGATTAACCAACCAAAATTAGCTTCAATCATTTTATATTGTACAGAAGAAAATGCGCAAACCTGATAGCTACTTGTACTAAAAAAACAAGCCTAATTCCCTATGGACAACAAAATATGTTGATATTTGGTTCGATTTGGGATTCCCAACCAATTACATAGAGGAGCCTGAATCCCAAAATGAAACTTTCGGGATCGGTTCGATTTCAGGGCGGGCAATTTTCGGTTCGGTTTTGGGACTGGATAGGGACGGTTTGGGGTTTTCCCTTTTTTTTTTTCACGCCTAGGGCTAGGAGGGACTCTGGTATGAAATTGTCCGCAATCTATGCATGGTATTGTGAAAGCTAGGATTTAGAACTTAGACGCCGTCTGAGTTGCATTGGTGTGCCATAACGTCGCATCCAAAGATAGCTCTCTATGAATTATATGAATTTACAATAATGTTGGTTGTGACAACCACCAAGCAGTCGTAAGAGATGTGACCCTCAAATTCTCGTGGGTTTACTTGTGTTATACACGCGTTAATAATATGCATGAATTTGGTTACACCAGATTACGGATGGTAGAGTTTTATGAAAATTGGTCATGGAAGATGAAACATTAGCTGATTTCGAATGACGATTTGAAATTACTATTACCCAAACTTATGAGACAAGAAAAACAATGCCCTGTTAAAATGCAGCACTTTTTTGGGTGCATAAACGACTCTTTCTTGGGGACGCTACAATAGGAACCATCCCGAGTACCGATTCGGTTTAGAACCGGAAAAACACAATGGTTCGAAATTGGTTTCGGTTTTGGTTTCCAGTTCAATGTACGCAGCTCATTCAGGACGTTATTTCGTATACTCCCAGCGCAAATGAGAAACCGAAAAGTAGAGTGTCATTTGCCTATCATAAATACTTGGCATTAACAATCTGTTTCATTGTTTCGGGGACAACGGGAGCAAATCGGTATGGAGAAGCTCAACTTGCACGTGTACTTGCAAAACTGTCATAATCCAACAAAGAGAGTCAGGCTTTGTTTGGAGCTCAAGCAGAAACTCTCTGGAGGCAACTCAAAACCAAGCCCGAATTCCGATGTTGATGTTCGTTCTGCTTCCTCAGATCCATCAGTTGCAAAAAGGGTTAGCCAGGCACACAATTGCCTAGCAGAAATAATCCCCCCTCCAACTGTTGCAGTTCTTGTTACCTTTCCCCAAAAAAAAGAAGAAAGAAGTTCTTGTTACCTAGCCCATCTCGAACAAATTTTGCTTTTGGATTGAAAATTATGTGATGAAAATTAAACTTTTCAAACGAAGGAATTTATTCAAGCTCTGTCTGTCTCAGCCCACGCACAAACAGAAAATAGAATGATAAATACAACAGAGTAATAGAAGGCGACTTACGAATCTACATCCAGCTTCCTGTCTATGCTTGAGAAAGTTTGGTAGAATGCCTTGAAGTATTTGTATGCAATATCGATATCTTCCTTCCCGCAAATCTCTCTCACACTGCAGTTAGAGATGAAAATAAACAAAACCAACAGTGATATCTCATGGCACATTATATTTCAACCTATAAAGGAGTGCTAATACGTAAACGTACAATATTAGCCTCTCTTTTATTGAAAACTATCAGTCATATTATCAAAATGCTTAATAATTTAAGCACTATTAAGATAGTTAATGAAACATATTATTTCACTTTACTAGTAGCTGCATTTTTTTCGTTAGACGGTTAGAGAGAGGCTCACTTTACTAGAGTAATCAAAAGATATGCCACGACATGAAAATATGAAATAAATGAAGCTCGGGAGTGAGATCAATTATGAAAATATGATCTTCATAATTAAAAATATCAGTTGGCATCAAAATTTTGAGATTTATGTTGATGTGCGACACGATACCTGTGCATAGAAAGCTGAGGAATGCCACAATCGACGGTACGAATGCCAGCCCCTGAAGCTAGTATGGGACCTATGGTAGATCCACATCCCATATCGTTTCTCACCACAAATTCCTTAAGAGAAATAATAGAGCAAGTAAAAGCTATGAGCTAAGTTATTGTTATCTGAGATTCTGAGGTAAAGAATGTCGAAGATAATCAATGAGACATGACATGTGAGATCAACTTTATCTCATGAAAATATGCTTTAAATTGAATTCAAAAATAGGACTGAATTATCTTTAGAGTGCTGTATCTGATCTATGATGCTATCTCGTAAAGGAGACATTAAATTAAACAGGGAAGAAAATCCTTATTTTTTTAACACGAATTACTAACTTCGGAGTTTCTTTGTGGCTTGGATTTCACCTTTTTATGTAACAAGTGAGCAATATATAAACATTCAGAAAGTAATCTTGTTTCGGTCATTAGCAAATGAAAAGAGATAAAATTTCTCTCCATGAAGATGTTAGTATAATGCATGAATAGCACTGAACATAAGGTCAGTTTCCAAAGAAAGGGGCACCTACTCTACTCAACTTATTTAAAGCATGGGATTCCTACTTAATGACTTATTTAATGCAAGATTGTTAAATGGATTAATCAAACTGGGTATCCAACAGTAAATACCTGAGTCGGAAGGTTATGGATTTTGCCAATTTCTTTGAAAATAAAAGATGTGACCCCACTAGTAGCATAGCGCTGGTTTGCATTATGCTTGATAACTAGACCTTTTTGCATTTCAGGACGATGGTGTTCTTCATGCTTGTCTATGAAATTTGGGTGTACTCCATGAGCCATGTCTGCAGACACTATTAAGAAAGCATCCCAAATATACATTTAGAGATTATGTTGATACATTGCCTAAGAACAAAGAAATTGAACAAAAGAAATTATATCCTGGTCACACGAATAAAATTAGCTATAATACAGTCTGTGTGATTCAAAACCCTAAACCCTTTATCAAAAAACACACACCCAGGATATTAAACCACAATCCTACCTACCTTTTGCAATTCCCTTTACAGTTCATTTTCTTCGCATAGTGGGTTGCATAGGACTGCAATTCCCATGTCTATTTTGGGCGAAGAGAACAAAAAGGCTATCATTCACGTGTTTGGTAACAGTGGGAAATGGTAACCAGGAAGTACCCCTTAAGCGTACACACATAACAGTTATCAGATTCCCGAGAATGTGCTTGCAAACTATAGGAATGGAATCTCCGTTCCGTGTTTTGAATCCATAAACCAAAATGTAAAGCTAAACGAAAAGTGAATTGCAAGATAATTTTTCATGGCATAGACATTTTTCCATTCGTCTTTTGAATGTGCATAGACATTTTAGAGCTAAATGAAAAATAAAATTCAAGATCATTTTTTTAAGAGAGAGAGAGAGAGAGAGAATATTATTAAGGGTTCAGTGGGAAAAAACTCATAAAAGTGTGACTCAAACTTACCAAGAAATGATTGGCGAATTGCACGCTCAAAAGCACATTCACCAACATATTTTTCAGCTAAGCAACTAATTATACGTCTCATAGCCTGAAACATAGTTGGTGCACCAGCCCCCTGAATTGAACCTGAACCAACCTAAACATGAAGAGTTGAAGATAGAATCTGTGAACTGGCCAAAAAGGCAAGAGAAAATGCACACGAAAGATTACCATCACTATAAATGCAACATGAGTAAGAAGGGGATGTTCCTTGTGGAAATAAGAACCAGCATAAAATGATTCAATTGTTGAAACTCTACAACAGAAAGTAATTACGCTCTTTCTGTAGAGCGTAGAATGTGTGGTCATGCCACACACATGCAAGCACGAATTTTAATTTTCAGGATGGCGTGAGTGTTGCAGATAATCACAGGTTGTTGAAAAATGTGATCAATGACATTGAGGGGCATCGCAAGAAACAGACTCTACCTCTCAGTGTGTGTGACAACTTTGTAGGGTCCACTCTGCATGGTATAACTAATAGTGTTTATAGTCATTCAAGTAATTTTACATCATCACGGATATTAGATAATGAAAATCTAGTTTTGGAAAAGGAGAATATGTGAGGCACGAAAACTATCCTTAGAAGCATATGAATACAGAACTTCAGTACTTCATGTAACAAATAAAAATACTGGGATCGGGATAAAGGAAAATTCATGCTGCAAGAACTTGTGATGAAGGAAATACCTCTTCATTGTCAAATAAAGCAACCATCCGTACAGCATGTTCACTTGATATATCACCAGGTGATTCACATGAATCAATGAGAGCCCTTAACGCACAGTAACTCGAGGCCAGATTATCCAACCTTCCTGAAAAAATAAATTCATCGTTTCCACCTCCAAGGCAGCTCGGTTGGGTATCACAAATATTCAACTCAATACTCACTATGTCGTCTATATTACAATTGAGCTCATCTGATAAAACCTGAAAACCACAGCTGTAGTTCAATAAAAAAGTGTTTTACACCCAAAACAAGTGCACCATTACTTTAACAGTGATCACAAAAATGGATAACTTGAAAAGTTACAATGTTACATAGAAACAGAATTCACTTGTGTATAAGTCAAAAATGGAAACTGGATCATCTGGTTATTTGATATGGGAATGCCCACATACTATAGCAAACATAATAATTTCACATCTAATTTTCTTTATTGATAAATACCAGTTTTATTTAGTGCCACGGTATTTGCTGATTAGGATATCTACTCAGATATTAGAGAGTGATATAGATTGAATGTATTATCCTAAATTGACAAGAAAGTCTATTACCTCTAAAAGTTGCATACAACAGATAAATAAGAATGCATTCCCATTGCTAACACCAATGACATTGCTATGAATATAGTAATTTTCCTGCAAATTTCCCATTGCAAATTTACCTCTATACTCTACCATTCATATCCAAAAAAGATAGAGGTAATTGCAGAAGCATGGATGATACAACTCTCATAAGCATTGGAGAACTGCTCGCTTTTTCTCATTTC